ATATATATATATATATATATATATACAGGGTGATCCACGTAAAATGTTACAAGCTAATAACTCTAAACATATTTGTCATATTAAAAAGTTGTTCATGAGAAAGTTTCATATATTCGAGGGGCTTTTCTAACTACGTAAACAAAAATCCACTTCCGTCCCTCCTTGAAGAGAGGCGGGAGGTAACTTCAAAGTTTCAAATAGGACCCCCTATACAGTGTTACATATTTGGATTCTACGGGAAAAAATAAGTAAACTTTGTCTGTAATATTTCTTTGGAAAATGTTCCTGTTAAAAGTTATAAGCATTTAAACTTTAATGTAGAGTGCATTGAAATTAATGATAAATTAAATAAGATTTATAGTTTTTCTGTTTTATTTTATTTTATCAAATGTTTGAACTGTTGACCATTAACATCCCCTTATAGAAATATCATCTACTAAGAATCATTGACAATTACTTATTATCCAGTATTTTTAATACTGAAAATAAGTAATTATCAATGATTCTTAGTATGATATTTCTATAAGGGTCTAAACACTTATTAATTCTTTTTACAAAACTTTGCCTAACTGTAAACAACATTTCTGAGGTCACCTTAGTACAAACTCTACGTATTCTTCGTTTTAAGTCTTCTTTCGTCATAAGTGGTTCAGATGTGACTTCCTCTTTGATATATCCCCATAAAAAATAATCCAAAGGTGTAAGATCAATGAAATGGCTAAAAGTTTAAATGTTTATAACTTTTGATAGGAACATTTTCCAAAGAAATGTTTCAGACAAAGTTTACTTGTTTTTTCTCGTAGAATCCAAATATGTAACATTCTATTTGAAACTTTGAAGTTACTCCCCGCCCTTCTTCAAGGGGGGACGGAAGTGAATTTTTGTTTACGAAGTTAAAAAGGCCCCTCGAATATATGAAACTTTCTCATGAACAACTTTTCAATAGGACATTACTCGCATTAATATTCGGACAGCATAATATTTAAAAATTATTATTCTCTAAACGTAATTTTTGTTAGAATAAGGAGTTCATAGTTTTTCAAAAAATTAAAACACTCATTATAGTTGTCAGAAACATGAATTTTATTTATATAATTTATATAGTTTTGAATATTTAAAAAAAAAAATAAAATTATTCTTGATTCTATTACAGCAAAAGTATTCAGACGTTAACAAAATATAATAATATAAATCCGTACATTAACCAAATAATAATAAATTTAATATTTTGTTGCGTAACCTTTTTGTTTAATAACATGTTGCAAACGTTTGGATATGTTAGAAATAATTTTTGTTAAGTAATCTGATGTAATCTGTGTTTCCATTCTTCTTCTAATCGTAATTTTAGTTCTTCTTTCGATCTTATAGGTGTAGTTCGAATGTTACGATCCAATAAATCCCATAAATTCTCTATTGGATTTAAATCTGGTGATTGTGGTGAAGGATGTAATACTTTTGGGCAATTATATAATAAATATTCTTATACTATTCGTGATTTATATTTCGAATCATTATCTTGATAAAATTTGAAACTGTCTCGTATATTCATATTGCTAGCACTTTTTATTAAATTGTTTTTTAGAATACTTAAATATTTATTTTTATCCAGAATTCCATCAATGAAAACTAATTCGCTCTCCTGAAGTTGATATGCAACCCTA